ATGTTTGATTCTGGTCATTCAACCGATTTTTTTTTTGGTAACCTTTTTAATTCAACTGAAAACTGATAATTACCTTAATATAAATTAGTTCAATAAAATTATGTGATTAGAAGAGTATTTCGAAATGGTATATAAAATTCTTTTATATGATGTCTTTTACTTTCACCTTATGAATACTTTTATCACATATTCTAACTAATTGATTATGTTACGTATTGAAAATTTTCTGTTAAAACATGTCGGCGGGGTAACGGATTTGAACGAACATCTAATAAATAAACATCCTTCTCTAGACTTAAATTAAGAAACACACATTAATTAAATCAAAACATTAATGTATATGTGTTTTTGTTTTGTCAACATACGTATATGTATATAATAACTATATACATAAAATTTATTTAACTGGCTGTACATACATAATATGTATGACCATTACTCAAAGAATGGAAAAGATCTGTACATAACTCAAATAATGTTATGGAAATTATCGTTCTTTAGTTGAATCCTTTGATTAGTTGCATAGTTGCAACTTGCTCATGACTCTGTGTCGTGCTCATGAGTTGCCTAACTTAATCATATTTTCCAATACTATCTCGAACACTACAACGGAAATAGTTTACCTCTGTCAGAATTTTTAATTATATATTTTTCAAAGTTTCCAAATTATACAAATACGAATTTCCATGACTAACTGAAACGAGCTAGAAATAGACAAAAACATAGGTAAGTAATAAAAGAGTGACCATATTAAAAAGAAGAAGATATTGCTTAAATCAGCAAACCAAACCAAAGACTCATGAAGAATCCCCAAAGCCAGATGACAAGAGGGACATCAGATCAAATGTAATCTTAGAAGTAAGAGAATATATTTATAAACTTTCATTCCACTACTTCTTGATATTATTATAACAAATTTATCTTTTCATAATTATTCTTATCGATTTTGAAAGTTCTTTGCTTAGTCTATGAAAATCAAGGAACAGAAACATTTTTTTGAACACATCGAAAAATTAGGTTTGTATTTTAAGGGTTGAAGTTAGTATTTATTAACTAGTTTTAAATTAGGGTTTAACATTTACGTTCATTTTCAAAGCATTAAGAACTTTCAGTTTTCTATTTCAGGGTTTCAAATTTTAAATCTTTTTAATTTATAGACTCTAATATATATATATATATATATATATCAGTTAAGATATATTCATATATAACTCTTACTCAAATAATTATCAACTTCTACAAAATTTAGTATTCAAATTAGTTAATTAATTAAGCTATAAAGTATATTTTGACCTTTTTAAGTAGTGTATCGAAAAAATTCACAACCGCATTGCAAATGAAAGATATGACTTAGGAAACCCAAAGTGGAATCTAGCATGATTTCTCACCGTACATGCCACTTTTGGTACTTTCACATGCCACTTTGGGTACTTTCTTTTATGGGAAACATTGTATATGCTTTCGTTTTCATTTGGCAAAAATATGTAAATCCGTGGTGCCTACTGCCTAGAGAAACTTGAATTTTTTTTTTTTTGAGCAACTTGAATTTTTTTTTTTTTTTTTGAGTAACTTGAATTTGAGTCGGCGTTCATAACTTCTGCTGTTAAGCTAAGTTTCAAAAAGTAGTATTCGTACTACATAATACTCAGTGGGCAAAAAAAAAAAAAAACCTCAGTGGGCGTCCTATTACTTAAATGTTACAAAGACGAGTTTTTCTTCCGTGGCATGTTAAGTTTAAGTGATTATACATTTACATAAATATAAATTAGTGAAGCTATAAATTCATCTACACTTTTAGCATTACGAAATATAAAAGTAAGTGGAGCAAAATAGCACTTAGTCTCTTTGGGCTTTTCTAATAATAATAGTTTAATTTACTTTAGTTTGTTTATTTGTTCATTTTTTTTAAAAAAAAATATTTGTTTATGTGAACTATTTTAGATTTTCTTTTTAATATTTAGTAAAACATAACATCTTTCTAAATTTTTACCAACTGAGTTAAAAAGATAAAAAACCAACTTATTCAAGCTAGGAACTTGAAAAACGAA